CCTCCCCCTCCCTTCTTCTTCGCTCCTTGTTACATCTTCGACGCCACACGGGTCCTACCAGACCCGACATAGGGGTAGAGGGACACAGTAGGGCCAAAGGCCCGACCTTGGGGGTACTACAGGCCGTAAAGGCCTTACCTTGGACCAGATCCGATGGGCCGGCCCAAACGATATTACCGTTTGGGCCTGGCGGCGCTCTTGAGGCTGCCGCCCGCCGGTTGGGGCTGAACCGTCCATCTGGACGGTTCAGGGCACGGTCAAGCCTCGCAGCATAGAGGCCGACCTCTGCCCACCGGTACAAAAGTACCGGTCCAGCCTCAGTGAGGCTATCGACCTACCGGCATTCCACCGGTACGGTATGGTACAGCGCGATACAGCGCTGGCGCTAAACTTAGCGCAGGAGCAGCGAGGAGCAGCAGCAGCGAGCGAGCAGCAGCAGCGGCTACTGAGTGTACCGGCGGCCATCGCCGCCTGAGGTATCGGGAGTTGGAGGCCTCTCTCCTCCCTCCCCTCACCAGTCCTCTCTCTCTCTCTCTCCTCCTCGGCTCTTCTTCTTCTTCTTCTTCTTCTTCTTCTTCTCTTCAGACTCCATCTTCTTCTTCTTCTTCTTCTTCTTCTTCTTCTTCTTCTTCAGATTGGAGACTTGTACTAGTTGGACAGAGATCAGAGTTGGACTTCGGTGGCATGAGAGCGTGGTACTTACCGGATTGGAGACTTGGAGATTGTTGGGGTTGATACTTGGCGGCATCACAGTTCGGACACCGGTTACATTTGGACTCTGTATCTCCGACATTGGTGACTGATTGTCCTCGACATTTTGATCTTGTTGGATGACATTTTGGACTACCATATCGGTGACCTATCGGATTCTATCTCGGTGACCTATCGGTGCTGTCTACCTCCCCCACCTCCTTCGTCTCTCCTCCCACCTTTCATCTGTGTATGTGTGTACGGGATCTGGGCATCGTCCATGCTTGGCCCAGACCCCACCATCTCACTATTGTATGTGTGTGGAGTGATGCTATGTGAGTCAGTCCGTTTATCAGACTTCCGCTGCATATATGCTCATCCTACATTGGTTGATCTTTGGTTCTGCCCATACTCATTGAAGTATGTAACAGTTTTGGTATCGGAGCAGACCAATTACGGATCTGCTCACCAGGTAAGACTGATTTAGGAATTAGATTGTTCTTCAATCTTCCAAATCAGCGCTGAATTACTATCAAGTTCAAAGTTGCAAATTTTTTTTTTCTTTTTCGGTATTCTATTTATTTTGGCATTTCCGTTTCAATTCGGTACTCGGACTTATAATTGGGATTTCTGTTTTCTCCCAGTATGCTGTTCATTTGGGTTCCGATTGAGTGATACTAATCCGATAATTAGTTAAGATTCGGATTTCTGATTTTACACGTATTAGGGTTGAATCAGTATCATGTTGAACTTCGGCTTTTCTGTTTTCCATTAAGCATTCCGTTTTTCAGCATTCTGTTGTAAATCCTATATTTCGTTTTCTTTTGGATTTCCGTTATTTTTCAGTATTGGAAATTAGGGTTACGAAAATCTTTTGGTTGTAGATCAACTTGGGGAAATTCGAACGTTTTGGGACCGTAAATCCGGAAATTCCGCCGAAACGCGGAAAATTAGGGTTGGGACCGCAATTTTCGCGAATTTTTTTTTCGTTCCCCTTGTTTGAGAAATTCCGAAAACGGGTTTTGGCCTTTAAAAATCGGATTTTGACGGTGGAAACTCCTGAAAATTCACGTTTTTTGGATTTCGAGTGTTTTTCTCCTGATTTTGGTCCGACTTTTTTTTTTTGGCAAACTAATCCGACTCTGACCCTCAGTATTGCAACTTCCGGGTAGTTCACTAATTAACGGTGAACTCCCGGACCGAAATTGATCTCAAAGAGACCTGATCTTAATACAATTCAAATTCGTTCATTGTTTTAATTGATTATCATTAGGAAATCATTATTGCAAACATTGTTTATTGATTATTTTAAGAATTATTCTTTCGTATTAATCATTAATTAAATTTATTGATTAAATAATTCGTTATTATTCTTCTTATTACGAATTTTTGAATTGTTTACGGGAAAATTTATTTTTTCTGTTTGATTAGGTGTCTTAGTCCATCCTTGGGACAGGGACTGCATGTATATTGCTTGATCTGTTCTATCCCTGTGCCCACCCTCTCCCTCAAACTGTTCTGCGATCCTCCGGACGAGCCAGCCTTCGGCAACAGTTCCTGATGCCAGCAGGGCCAGCCTCCGAACAGCAGCCACGACGCAGCAAGCGGATCGCCGATCGCCAACAGCAACAGCAACAGCAACCTACAGTTCTACAACCGCCACAGACCAGTACTCAGATGGCGAACACGCCACACAGCGGATCATCATCCGAGGGTTCGACAGCTAGTAATGCCGAACCCTTACCGGTGCGAGAGTCGAATGAGCCCCTCCCGGACTTCATTCAGCGAATGCAGGACTATACAGCCGCACTCACTCAGGTCAACGAACAGCAAGAGGCTGCCCCAGCCGAAAGACTACGGCTAGCAGAGGAAGCTGCAGCACAAACCCGGCGTCAAGCCGAGGCAGACCGATTGGCGATCGATCAGCTCAACGCCGGCAGTGCTGATCTTGTAAGTGCTAACCAAGCACAATGGACAGCGGTGCTCGACGGGATGCGTTATGTCCCGGCACCTGGCAGCGAGCCGACAACAGTACAGCAAGAGAGGCACGACCTGGCAGATATTCTACTCCATACAATGCGCGCCGTCATTTGGAACAGCTCCATGGGGGAGCTGCATTCCCGGTCCACACTGCAGCTGCAGCACGATCTGAGCCACAACGTGAAGATACTTGCAGCAGCTGTCAAGGTCGCGGACAACCAGTTGAAACAGCTGGATGCACGCATTGCTACTTTGGAGGCAAGGCCTCCCCAAGCAGCGCCAGGCTGCACGCCAGATATGACAGACACAACGAAGCAGCTCAATGGGCGCATCGATCATGTCGTCAATCTCATCGGCGACATAGGTGTTTTCAATGGGCCGGACACGACCAGTAGCACGGTGGCCGCCATCAAGGCGGACATCACCAAGCTGCAGACGAAACTAGACGCCGCCACGAAGAGTTACAAGATGCCGCACTTCGACATCAGCAAGTTCGACGACCACAACAAGACGGGCGCTTTGGCATGGTGGCAACGTTTCCTCACGGAAGCATCCTGCCGCACTGTCCCGGACGACTATCTGATGAAGGCGTTATACTTACAGCTGATTGGAGGAGCGCAGGCATGRAKGAACCATCTGGCGGCTACCCAYACATGCACCATCGCCGAACTTCACACGCACATCACGTGGAAGGAGTTCGAGCAGCTATGGTTCACCCGGTTCATGGTCCGCAACGTCGTGAAGGCGGCCATGAACGAGGTGTACACCTGCTCTCAAGGAAGTATGCCAACTCGAGACTAGACAACCAAGTGGTAGAAGATAGTGACCACGCCAGGTTTCGATTTGACTTTTCCTAATCAACGATCCGAGTTCTTCTCGCGATTGTGCGCGGGATTGAGCTCGGCACTCGGTAACGAGTATGACTATACCTCGTTCCAGGCTATCCTGGATCGCGCAAACCTGGTCATCCAAACGGACGACAAGGCCGCTAACGAGAAACAATCCCAGCCGCATTTTGTGGCTAAGCAGGGCTATCAACATCCGACACATAACAATGCCGTAATTTCTGAAGCAATAGACGATCTCCACGCTGCAGCAGAATCCTCGAGTGATGGAGGAATTGTAGCAGCGCTCCCGCCGAAGCGTCCTAAGAGGGTCTAGAAACCCAAGGCGACACAAGAGACAGCATCGACGGGAACTGGGCAGCAGCCATGGACGGCCTACAACATCACCAAGGAAGTCTATGAACTTCGTCAAAAGTATAGATATTGCCTTTGGTGCAATGCAGTCACACACTTGACTGCACAATGCCCCGAAAAGGGCAAGGCACGCGTACTCCGTCCAGCAAACTCGGGAAACTGAGTCACGCAAGGAGAGGGGCGACGTCTCTCCTCACTCCGCCGGAACCGGTTGCCTTGCTAGCAATCGATGTCACTACCGGGGAGCATGCGTTAGTCGCTGATTCTCGTGCAACGTACGAGGATTATGCCGCCCAGCTGGTACCACCATTAGACCAGCCAAGCCACGTGCATTTGGCTAGTGTATGCGCAACCTGTACACCGTTGGCAAGTGATCCGGTAAGTTCGCCACTGATTCCGAGGACTCGACGGCGTGGTCAAGACTTGAGGAGCTCGACCCGCTCACGAGAGAGGACTTTGCTTGGATGCCTCTACCCTCGACCGGAACCTTGCCAAGGCCGCATTGCAACGCCTTGATGGCAGATTTACGCTCCTATTTGCACACTACAGTACCAGCTCCATTGACGGACGACGGGGTAGTGGTTGTCGATCTCCACTCCTATCTTGCGAAGATTGACCGCGAGTACGCCACCCAAAGGTACGCCGAAACCGACGCGCCTTTGCTCTATATCCGCATTCAAATCGGAAAGGCAACCTGTAGTGCCTTGATTGATTGAGGAGCGTCTCGCAACTTTATGAGCCAAGCCTTTATGGCCCGCGCAGGTCTTGGCCTGCGCGCTCGAAGGAAGACGCAACCCACGCAAGTTACACTCGCGGACGGCCGCACGCAAAAGTCAATTGACCGATGCGTCGACGACGTTCCGGTATACTTCGCGCCACTTGCGTGCGAGTCGGTGTCGTTTGACATCCTCGACACCAAGTTCGACATGATTCTAGGCATGTCTTGGTTGCGTAGCGCCGATCATCCGGTGAACTTCCATGACCGAACCGTTCACATCCGTGATCGGAACAGAGTGTTAGTCCAATGTACGGTCGCGACCCCTCACACTTCGATTGCTTGTCACGTGGTTTCCGTTGCGAGAATTCGCGACGCCATTGCTCGGAATGACGTCGAGGAGATGGGCCTTGTATTCTTGCATGCTCTCCCCTCGTCGGATGGACCAGCTGAGTCCCCGCTGGATCCACGCATTTCTCCTCTTGGACGAGTATAGAGACGTCTTYGAGGCTCCCACCGGAACGGTTCCGGATCGGCCCATACGTCACAGGATCACTCTCGAGGCTGGCGCCGTCCCTCCACGTGGATGTATCTACCGCATGAGCGAAGAGGAACTCGAGGTGCTTCGCGCACAACTCAATGACCTTCTCGACAAGGGCTGGATTCGCCCTAGTTGCTCGCCATACGGTGCCCCTGTTCTCTTCGTCCGGAAGAAGAACAAAGATCTACGGCTATGCATCGATTAGCGAAAACTTAATGCACAAACCGTAAAGAACGCCGGCCCTTTCCCTCGGATTGATGATCTTCTTGAGCGGTTGGGCGGTGCGACGTACTTCTCGAAGTTGGACTTGAAGTCAGGTTACCACTTGATTGAAATCCAGCCTCAAGACCGGTACAAGACCGCGTTCAAGACACGGTACGGGCATTTTGAGTGGGTTGTCTTGCCTTTTGGCCTCACCAATGCCCCCACGACTTTCCAAGCAGCGATGACGACTTAGTTTCGCTACTTGCTTGATCGCAGCGTCCTCATCTACCTTGATGACATCTTGGTTTACAGTAGGACGTTGGACGAGCACATCGTACACCTTCACGTTGTTCTGGATCGTTTGCGACTAGCCAAGTACAAAGCGAATCTCGACAAGTGCGAATTCGCCAAGCAAGAGCTTGAGTACTTGGGTCATTTTGTCACGCCGAAAGGCATTCGTCCCTTAGCGGACAAGATCCAAGCCATCGTGGATTGGGCGGAACCCCGTTGCACGACGGATGTACGCTCTTTCATGGGTTTGGCTGGATATTATCAGCGATTCGTCGAGTCATACTCGAAAGTGGCCRCTCCTTTGTCGAGACTTCAGTCCCCGAAGGTGCCCTTCGAGTTCGACGACGCAGCCTGTGGTGCGTTCACTACGTTGAAGGCAGCGATGCAAGCCGCACCTACCCTCCGTATATATGACCCCACCCTACCCACCCAAGTGACTACCGACGCTTCGGGATACGGTATTGGTGCGGTGTTGGAACAGTGTCACGAGGACGGTTGGCATCCGGTCGAGTACTTCTCCCAAAAGGTGCCTCTCGTAAACACTCTCGACGACGCTAGGAAGAAAGAGCTACTCGAGTTCGTCACCGTTCTCAAACGGTGGCGCCACTTTCTTCTCGGTCGTCGGCGTTTTAAATGGAATACGGACAACAATCCGTTGACCTTTTACAAAACGCAGGATACGGTCACTAGCACGATCGGTCGATGGATGTATTACGTCGACCAGTTCGACTTTGACCCGTGCCACATTCCTGGTCCCGCCAATCGAGCTGCGGATGCCCTATCACGACGGCCCGACTTTTCTGCCATTGTGACCACGGCATTCGACCTCGATGACGATCTGCAGCCGCATTTCGTCAAAGGCTACAAGTCCGATCCGACTTACTCTATGCTTTACGCGGAGCTTTCATCGGATCACCCGCCGGCTAGCCACTATCGGATTTCCGACGGGTTCCTTCTCCTTCACACGAGAGGAAAGGACTTGTTAGTTGTGCCCCAAGATCGCATCTTACGGACTCGTCTTCTCGGCGAATTCCACGACGCACGACTTTCGGCACACCTTGGCGTGAACCGCACACTAGCACGCCTCCGCCAGCGTTTTCACTGGCCCGACGTCCTTCATGATGTCAGGAGGTACATTGAGTCATGTGCAGTTTGCCACCGTAACAAGGGTCGATCTCGAGTCGCCTTCGGCGAATTGAAACCGTTGCCGATTCCTCGGGCACCACGCCTCTCCATTGCTATGGACGTGACAGGCCCGTTTCCCCGCGATCGCCACGGCCGTGACGGTATTCTCACGGTCGTTGACCGTTTGAGCAAGTATGCTCGCTGCCTTCCTTGCAAGTATCATGCTGCAGCGCCTGAGCTCGCACGACTCTTGCACACCGGTTGGATTACCAACCARGGTGTTCCGGAAGACATAGTGAGCAACCGAGATACTCGCTTCATGTCGGCCTTTTGGACTTCCCTCATGGCTGAGTCCGGTACGACAATGAAGCCGAGCTCGGCTCGGCACCCGCAGACGGATGGCCAGACGAAGCGAGCGCACCAGACCGCTCAGATGATGTTGCGTACGCTCATCCGTCCCGACCAGAAAGATTGGGTTGACCGACTTCCCGACATCGAGTTCGCCTATAACATTTCGGTGCACCCGGCGATCTGCGTCACACCATTCGAGTTACATCATGGTGGAGAGAAAGCACGGATTTTCGCTGATCTTCTTTTGCCACAGGATGTCGACATAGACGTCCCTTGCTCTCCCGCTTCCGTTCGGAAGTACCGGGACTTGCTGATCAAAGCTCGCGCAAATATGCAAAAGGCTCAGATCCGCATGCAGCAGCAGGCTAACCGACGTCGACTTCCATGTCCTTTCTGCGAGGGAGACCTTGTTTGGGTCCTCTCCGAGGAATTTGCAGTCGAGCAAAACGTTTCGCGCAACTCCTTCCGAAATGGTTCGGACCATGGGAAGTCACTTCTGCCGTTGGAGACGACCCCGCAGGTCCTTCCTTCGTGATCAACATYCCACCACACCTTCCAGTGCATCGGGTCTTCCACGCGTTGAAGCTGGCCATCTACACGCCACCTTCAGCTGACGAGTTTCCCAGACGTCGATCACAGGATCCGCCTTCTATGGATGGACATCAGGAAGTTGACCGAGTCATCACGCACCGCAAGTATGGCAACAAGCCAATGCAGTTCAAGGTCACATTAAAGCAATGTGCGCCTGATGACACTCGATGGATCTCCAGTACAGATTTGCAGACTTCTGCACCCCTTATCTTCGCCGACTATGAGAAGCGACGCCTTGCTAAGGAAGCAGCTCGTCCCGCCCGACCCACCCCGATATCGGACAGACAACTTCGCCCTCGCAGGTAGCTCGGTCTTTTAAGAGGGGGAGTGTGTTACATCTTCAACGCCACACGGGTCCTACCGGACCCGACATAGGGGTAGAGGGACACAGTAGGGCCAAAGGCCCGACCTTGTGGTACTACAGGCCGTAAAGGCCTTACCTTGGACCAGACCCGACGGGCCAGCCCAAACGATATTACCGTTTGGGCCTGGCGGGGCTCTTGAGGCTGCCGCCCGCCGGTTGGGGCTGGACGGTTCAGGGCACGGTCAGGCCTCGCAGCATAGAGGCCGACCTCTGCCTACCGGTACAACAGTACCGGTCCAGCCTCAGTGAGGCTATCGACCTACCGGCATTCCACCGGTACGGTATGGTACAGCGCGATACAGCGCTGGCGCTAAACTTAGCGCAGGAGCAGCGAGGAGCAGCAGCAGCGAGCGAGCAGCAGCAGCGGCTACTGAGTGTACCGGCGGCCATCGCCGCCTGAGGTATCGGGAGTTGGAGGCCTCTCTCCTCCCTCCCCTCACCAGTCCTCTCTCTCTCTCTCTCCTCCTCGGCTCTTCTTCTTCTTCTTCTTCTTCTTCTTCTTCTCTTCAGACTCCATCTTCTTCTTCTTCTTCTTCTTCTTCTTCTTCTTCTTCTTCAGATTGGAGACTTGTACTAGTTGGACAGAGATCAGAGTTGGACTTCGGTGGCATGAGAGCGTGGTACTTACCGGATTGGAGACTTGGAGATTGTTGGGGTTGATACTTGGTGGCATCACAGTTCGGACACCGGTTACATTTGGACTCTGTATCTCCGACATTGGTGACTGATTGTCCTCGACATTTTGATCTTGTTGGATGACATTTTGGACTACCATATCGGTGACCTATCGGATTCTATCTCGGTGACCTATCGGTGCTGTCTACCTCCCCCACCTCCTTCGTCTCTCCTCCCACCTTTCATCTGTGTATGTGTGTACGGGATCTGGGCATCGTCCATGCTTGGCCCAGACCCCACC